GGGGGGGGGGGGGGGGGGGGGGTGGGGAGGGGTCTGGCTATAAGTGTTGGAAGTCAATACAATGACTTGATGAAAAGAAGGGCATGCTCCAGCTTGTGCCTGTAATAGCATTGCTTTGACGGGAAAAAGATATGTGGCAGCTCACTGGTATTTGAAAGCATGAAATTTAGCCATATAGAATTTCAACAGATGTCATTTCAGCCCTGAGTGCAAGGCTGTGTCTCTAAAATCCATATCCTACACTGCTTAGATGTACAGGAACCTGTCTTTCTTGCACTGACTCACTCTACTGGCTGTTGTTTCATCACTCAGGCAGCTCTATTCTACAGCTTGATAAAGCATGTGAGCAAATGATGCAGTCAATACCTTCTTTCCATCTGTGTATCTGTACTCCAGTCCAAATTGTTGTGCCAGAAGAGCAAATTAACAAACTAAGTGCTAAAATCAATACTTTTTATTAAGAATGTTTGAATCTTTACTGTGATTTAAGGTGGATCCAGATTCTTCTTTTCATTTCTTTTGATTCTTAAAGAGTAAGAGCCATTATATGAAATACACTAGGGAAGTACCAATAACTTTGTTTTACATGGCAGAGGTTTGACTCTCAATTTTTGGCATCCTAAATTGAGGTGATAAAGCTACGAAAATGCTGGATTGCCTCAACCAGCTACATTTCCCCAGACTGGCTCTCTAGATGGTTTCAAAGTACAGTTCCCATATTCCTGGTTCATGACTAGGATAAGAGGAGTTGCAATCCAAATATATTTAGTGACCCAAGATTAGCAAGCTGGTCTATAGTTACTGATAATCAAAATCTGGTAGTAGCTCTCCAAAGTTGCAGAGGTCTATACAAAACTCAGATAGATGGGTCAGTGATCAGATACAATAGAAGGCAGCTACTTCAGTAGAACACATCTCCCTATATTGCACTATCTGGAAGTACTATAATAAAAATAAGAGACTGAGTGGCTACCTCTTTCTTCTTCTAGATTTCTACTATTCTACTATTTTTTTAAATTATTAATGTGTCTCAGATGGTCAGCTCCTGAGTCATCTAGGGCTTTAAAGATTAACAACTTCTTAACTTATGCTTGCTAGGCAACTGGAAAGCAGAGCATATCTTTCAATACACCCGTCTAATAATCTGGGTACCATATGCCACATAACATCCTAGCTGCTGTATTTTGCACCATTTTTAAGGGTATCCCACATAAAGTGCAACAAAACCAACCAACCAAGATATAGATAACTATGGATGTAGTATTCCTTATGTTGGTATAAAACCAGTATAATTGTCATAGTGTAGTGTTGCCTGTGCAAGATAATTATAGTAATGACATTTGGGTTGCAAGCAAAGAGAACAGGACTGATGCCAGGCTATCTAAATACAGCAGATTGTATCTCTTATTCCCAGTCCCTTGACAATTCATGAGCCTAGCCTACCAGCTGGAAAACAACTTGTTCTTCTAGGGCTTTCAGTTGTCATTGGCTATGCCTGTCACTGCAATTAAACAACTGCCTTACACAGGCCATGAAATATACTCCTCCCTACAGGGAATGATGAGCTATGCAAGCAATAGGATGAGAACTGAAAGAGCTATTTACATCTTTCAGAGGAACCAGCTTCCTTGTTGTCTGATAGGAAGGAGTCAGGGTCACTGGGTAATTGTAGTTAACATCATCATGTGTGTAATCAGATTTATAGGCTACCTGGAACACAAGAAGCACAAAAATAATCACCCTTTTAAAAACTATCATTTGTTTCGAATAGTTACCAGGCAAGTGAAAAAGAAATAAAATTACTAATATTAATATTAGACTTTCGCAACAAAATAAGATCAGGATGGTCCATGTCAAAGATAGTGAAATTATTTGCATACTTTAGATGCTGAGTCTTCCTCAGCTGTACATATATATGCCACTGCCAGCTGTGGGAGCATTAACTTCCATTTGTGGCATGGTTCTTCAGTGTCTTGTAGATTTGTAAATAACACACTTCAAGACATGCTAAATATGTAAGTAAAAAATTCCATCTCATACCATAAATATTAAATTAAGTACAGTTATTCTTAAACGCAGCAGTTTGAAATAGCAGGTGTCAGGGACAGCCGTTTATGAACTAAACTTCTATTGGGGGGTGAAGGATGCTCACCCCTTGAAAACTAAATTCAATTATTGTAATGCCCTTGTAGTCCCATGACTTGTGACATGTCAATTAATAACTTAAGATCTAAGAGGAACTGAACTACCTGGCACATAAATGAAAAATCAGAAACTATCATTTACTGATCCAAAATGCATGTTTACCGGCATGATATACCCTTATGCAAAATTAATTATTAATACAATTTTTGGAAGAACTTTAAACAGCGCAGTAATATTTACGACCCTTCCTGCATCTCTTAAGAAATAATTAAAAGTGTGGCTATCTTTCATTTCAGGAAGTGAAGACTAGATTTCATTTTGAAATAGTATATAACAAATAATTAATGACAATCTGATTTAAACATCTTACATTGCTTGCCAAACTTCCAACCTTCATGGCATGCAGTGTGCGCCGGTCCATGCCAACTCCTTCATAATGACCTTTCTGGTTCTGGTAATGTTCTTTATATTTGAGCTGAACACAAAAACAAAACGCCTCTCAGATATAAATGTTATTAGTTCTCCCTTGTAACAAAGAAACAAAGACATAACAGAAAACTAAAAAGAACACAAGAATTGCTAGTATGTATCTGCATTATTATTTCAAAAGAATGGCTGTCCACTATCATTTTATTTTGATGCTACTATAGTTAGAAAACATCTAAGTTCCACTTGTTTATGAACAAAAGACCACAGTGGAATGCAATTCGACCGTATTGATTTACAACATCCAATATAGATTATTTTTATTTTTATTTTTAATGGGATATTATGTTTTCGCAGATATATTCTACAATGTTGCTATTATGACCCTTTCTGTTCATAATGCATATAAAATCCAAATTCAATTGCAGTTACTTAAAAAAAATTGATAACAAAATGTTATTGGTTTATAATCTGATGTTTGGCCTATATTTTGCTCTTTAATTAGGAATTCAAAAGTGATAACCAAGGCTACTTGGTAATTGAGGTCATAAACAAACATAAGAGATGAAGCTAATTAACATTAAAATTAACAGAAATTACTTGGTTATTGATTAAATATATGTAATCTTTTTTGTAATGACTTTTGTGTTCTTTGATCTAAGCTACTAGCTTTTTCTGGAAGTCATTTATATACAAACTGTGATTTCAACAGTAACTAAGTTAAGCTTTCATAGAACTGCAGACAAATAGCTCAAACTTACATCACTGGTGTATTTTGAGATCTTGCTAACATTCCTGAATTGAGGTGTCTCACAATAATTAATACTGTGGCCTTTACTGTTCTCCAGATCCTTCTTATATTCAACCTTAAAAATTGGAATTAACAAGAACAAAAAGTTATATATACATATATTAATTGCCAACAACATTAGCTATCTCTAGCAATAAGAGAAGTACCTCTATCTATGGTGAGACTGAATATTTGCAATGTAGGAAAACAGAAGAGCAAATGTAGTTCCCATCTGAATACAGGTAGCCTTCAGTTTAAGAATGAATTCTGTTCCTAAGGTCTGTCCTTAAGTTGAATTTGTATGTAAGCTGGAATAATATTATTGTATAACACTATATAAGTAGTATTGTGTAATGAACTTGAACATTGTGTATTTAACTCAAATCATTATGTATTTAATTTGAATTTTGCTACAATAGGCTCCATTCTTAACTATGGGTCGTCTGTAACCCAGGCGTTCTTAACCCAGGGACTATCTGTATATGGATAATAAGCCAAACTTCTCAGCAAGTATGGATTATTATTCTACTCCAACCTTGTCATTATAGGCTAAATTTGTGCATGGGCATGGTTAGAACAGATGTTCTGAAATAAAAGGTATTTTGCTTGTTTATTTACATGCTGCCCATTGTCATATGCAGCCAACCACTCTCCTCTCTTTTTCTATGTGTGTGTGTAATATATTGTGCAATACATATCTCTCTTTCTCTCATACATACTGTATACAAACATTACACACACACACACACACACACACACATACAAATAAAAACACCCAAGGGGGGGGAACACTCTCTTTGCAGTACTGATATGGAATGAATTCTAAAGAGATTTAGGTGTTTACATAACTGGGAATAAGCTCTATGATCACAACAGAGATGACTTTTGAATAGAAATATGTAAGGATCAATTGTATTGATATACTATTTGATTTGATTTATTATTGCATTATTATTATTGTTCTATTTTAACATATGCATTGAAAACTACCTAGAGTCCAATTAGGTTGAGGCAATGTATATATTTCATAATGAATAAATAGGATTTTCATGATTTTTTAAAGATATTTTTATCCTGTTATTATCTTTATAAATAACTCAAGGCAGTGAACATACCTGCCTTTAATTGTTATATGCTGCCCAGAATCACCTTGAGTAAGATGGGCGGCTATATAAATATGATAGGTAGATAGATAGATAGATAGATAGATAGATAGATAGATAGACCTAATATTCCTTCCTCCTCCTATTTTCCCCACAATAAACCTGTGAAGCGAGTTGGGCTGAGAGAGAGTGACTGGCCCAAAGTCACCCAGGTGGCTTTCATGCTTAAGGAGGGGCTAGAACTCACAGTCTCCTGGTTTATAGCCTGGTGCCTTAGCCACTGGCTCTCTCTTTTTCTATTTCTCTCTATATTATATTTCTTAACTTCTTAATTTAATTAATTTATTAATTTCTCTCTATATTATATAATTTTCCTGAAAGCAAAACTACAACTAAAAGAGAATGTGGGACAGAAGGCTATTCAGAGAAAGCACTTGAAAATTAATAAGACCTACATAATTTCCCAACATATTTAAGTGTATTTGTTTTGCTTAAACATACAAAGATGTCATCCATATATCAGCGCCATTTTGCTGATGAAAAAGGGGTCACATTTCAGGAAAATGCCTTAGCTGACAACAGTGTCCAAACTCTATCACTTTCACACAACTGCAGAAAGTTCTGCTGAATGTAATATTTATTTGCTTTGGTGAAGCTTCTCTTGCACTAATTTAAGAGAGAAAACTGATAATTTTATATGGAAGGGTAAGGGAGGATGGAAGAGGTGGAGTTTTACAAAGATGCTATCACTATTTCAGAGGTAGCAGCTAACACTGTGATAAGTAATATAGTTAAATTCAAATAATTTTTCTCTGCATTTCATATCAATCAAGAAATATGATCTTACCTCACTGTACAGCTTGTTCACATCTTGGGCTTGCTTAAGAACTAAGTTTTCTTGGGCTGAAAGAGAATGGTAATGGGCTGCTCCTTTCATCTTTGAAAAATCCTTCTTGTATTTAATCTGAAAAAGAAATGCCATGGTGTAACCACGATAGCCCAACCCTATTTGTGGTTTACTTTTTCCATTTTCCAAATTAACAATAGCTGCTGCATTGTGGTATCAACTACAGTTTTGGGAGGTTGAATCCACTAATATATATTTTCCCCACTAGCAACCTGATTCTAGGTTCTAGATCAAACAGCAGTTTCAAGATAGACAGTTTTCAGAAGGAAAAGAATTTGGTGGTTTTTTCTTAAAATCATCCTTCAGTGCCAAGCACAGCATTTAAGACTGTATATTAAATTGCATCTGATATGTTTGCAATTTTGTTATTTGTTTTATGAATCTGGCTGCACTGTTTGTATATTTGTAAGCAACAATACATTGCAAAGAAAAATTTCATAAACCCCAGGACTCTTTTGTTCTCATTCATGAGACAAACTATATATATATATACACATACACACACACACACACACACACACACACACGCTATTTGAGCAAATGTATTTCAGTATAAAAACAATTTATTCTATCCACTTGAAGAATATGAAAGCCAATACAGTATATTAAACCTGAAATAAAAGGTTCTGGATTCAACTCCTAGTCAGTCCTGCAACTCATCTCATGTAAGTTGCTATCTCCCATCTTAACATGCCACACAGGATTATTTTGAGATAACAGTTTATATAATATTAAATGCTGCCCTCAGCTCTTTGCACAAAATATACATAAAATAATTTTCTTTCATTACATACATTGGAAAAGTAAATAAGCTGGGTCAATTAGTTTATTTTTGATTATATGCAACTAGAAAACATTGCAAGGCATGTGTTTGTGCTACGTAGTTCATTAAGTCACCTGTTCAGATCCTTTATCATTAACTGGAGCTATTATTACAGACTTAAACACTGGTACAGATTGGCGGTGTGCTAGATTACTTTAGCTGATTATGTGCCATAAGTTGGTGACGTCTCTTAGCAACCACATAGATAGACCTTCTCCAAGATGAGTGCTAGAATACCAAGTTTTTTAACAGTTTATTTAAAGATAAATATAGAAGATGAGCATTTTGCAAAATCTTCTTTTAATGGTAATAAAATATTTCTGACTAAAAATATTGCTTCCAGTTTTGAAAGCATGTATTTAGAACATTCTCAATCAGAACTGAAACAATTATATCTAAGGTCCTTTGCTAGAACACAAAAAAACAGCTAATGTCCTCAAAGGACTTGCTCTTTTTATAGGTTTCAATTAGTTGCTCAAATAATATGACACCAGATAAACTATAGCAAGCATTTTGGATCTGGCCCATGTTAGCTGAGACATCCAATTTCATACTTACATCACTAGCCAATTCATTTGCCTTCTTAGCATTTAGATATGCTGGTGTGATCATAGCAGGAAAACTCCCTTTCCCTCTGTGTTCTTCATATTCGTCCATATAATCCTGAAGAATATTCAGCAATGATCATTTACTTATTGATTTTTATATCCCATTTTAATATTAGCCTTTGTAAGGAGTACTGTTTCCATATATTACAACATCAAATGGAGAACGTAAGAGAGGAGATAATGAAAGAGGCTGAAAACATCATTCTTACCAATATATTCTTAAATGCCTACTATGAACATAGGAAATCTTCATATTATGCCCATACTTAAATCATTGTCTTTTTGATACATTCATTTATTTGTAGTTCACTAAAGATAATGTATGAATTGATATATGCGGTGGAAACAAGATGAAAAGTGTGGTGTAGCATAGTGAATGGTGTTATTGTAAATTTAAGTAGATTTTTTTCTCTTATCTGCCTTTAATTTCTTTTGCCCTTTACTTATCATTCTTCTTCTTATCTTTGCATAATATTGCTTACCCAAAACCAAACACTATGATAAGTAATATATGCTATGTACCAGTTCTAAGAAATCCATACTACCATGGGATGCAGAAAATATGGCATATGAATTTAATAAATAAATAAATTCAGCAGAACATGCAACTCAAATTAATCATTTCCTTGTTAAGTATATTGATAAACCCTTCTTTCATCTTGCTATATCAATAAAGGAAAATAAAACTCTCTTATTATCTAATAAATTCTGACATGCCAAATCTTTGCATCTAGCTGAACCTCCTTACCCCCATTTTATTCTATTCCAAAACTCACCAGTTTTTAGAAGTAGCATTAGGTATAGGATGTGGGGCACTAAATGCAAGGGGAATCAAAAGCCCTAAGTTACAAGAGAAACTACTACTCATAATATGTGGCTGAAATCACTACTTTGGAAGCAGTGTGAATTAGAATAAATGTGAATATATTTACACTGTTTGTTACCTGATTAAATTGGTCTACATTTTCTCTTAACGTGCCAACAGAATGACTTGCTTTTCCCTTAATCTCTTTTTCATATCTTTGGTGATACTTAACCTGAAATAAATTATGATAAAAAGAATGAGTTTATTCTGGCATTCCTTTATGTTTAAAACATACAGACTACTTTCTATGAAAAGTGTGCAAAGCAGAAATTAATAAATAAACAAATAAATTTTAAACAGAGGGAAAAGTCCATCATTGCATCTCATACTTTAATATTTATTTCACATCTCTGAGTAATGAGGTAATTCAGAGGTACAGAGTTATCCAAGTTTGACTACCTTTGAAAGAGACACTTTACAGGTTGATAATAATGGACATGCCTTCAACTAATAGCCAATGACCACTGTTCTCACATCTGCCAAAAGACTAAGATTGATGAAGACCTTGAATTTAACTCCTTGCATGACTAAATATAAGCATTTACACCTAATTCATATATCAGAGGGTGCCACCCTTCCACCATTCTGAATTTAATTTGTCCTTCTCTTGCATCCTGACATACATTTTTTAGCATAAATGTCCCATAGTAATGGAGAACCATTGACCCATTAATATCTGTCCCTTTCAAATCTAGGATGCCATAATATTTGTAATTTTTCCCACTACAGAAAATTTGGCTTTAGTTTTATAAAATACAGTACAGATTTAGCTTTGGTATAACATGACTTACAGAGCATATGTTATCTTATAGACAGAATGTGCTCTATTCATGACTTATAGAACTTACATGGCTCGCAAGTTCATTGGCTCTTTTAGCAATCTGATAAGCTGGTGTTATCATAGCAGGGAAACTTCCTTTCCCTCTTTGTTGTTCATACTCTTCTGGATATTTTAACTGAAAAAAATCAAGATTGCTTAAAGCTGTAGCAACAGAGATATAAATCCAGCTCATATTAAATCATTGCTTAGCTTACTATACAAAACATATTGGCTGAGCCAAAATTAAACAAGCTACTTTATAATTTCTCATGATATGTGAATCTAGCCACAGAGAGGCAGACGTGATAGGCAGACATATGAACTTAATTTATCCTTATACTTACATCACTCATGAGTTGCCCCCCAGCTTTTTCATGAAGTATTTCTGGAGTATCCATAACACTGCCGAATTTGGAAACATGTTCTTTATGTCCCTGCTTGTATTCCACCTAGGGATGGAAAGAAGACAAAATTTCTTGAAAATAAAGAAAAAATACAATCTTGCTACCAAACATAAAAAAGGCAGGAATATCTAGTGGATTTTGATTTGGTTTTAGTTTCTGCAAAGTTTTATAGTTTGGACTGACATGATTTATTCAACTCCCATTACACAGGTAATTATTTATGGTGTGCTTCTACTTGGTTTGATTTAGGTCAGAGTATATGCCAAGGTTGCCCTTTCTTCTTTTTTCTTTTTCTTTTTTTTTAGAACCTCTTACCTACATAATTAGAAGATCTGAAAATTACCATGGAGTAGTGAGCAGAGCATAAGATTTTATTATACATCAGTGGTAGTCCAGTGTTATTAGGAATAGAGATTTCTGTTTTATTTATACAGCAGAAATCTCTATACCTAATCTTATTTCATTAATACAATACTTGAAACCCTGTATTCTTACTCAATAAACTGGAATAAATCAGAATTAATTACACTGCCTCACAGTAACAGTCTTTAAAAGCATGCAGATTAGAGTTTTAAGTTATCTTCTGACTCCTTTGTTTATCTTGACATAAGAATTTCTAAGAGTTATTCTCAGCTGTTAAATTTGAGAATTTAAATTTAAATTTTGCCTGTTTAGACATAGATGAAAGAACCTCTAGACAGATCTGAAAGAAGATCTAGAAAGAAGACCTGACTGATATTTAAGATAAAATAAAAGTGATTAAGATGAATACTTAATATAAGATCAATTTATAATTTGAGAGAAATAAAAATTTCCAATATTTATACCATGGTATTATTTTAAATTAATCTACAGGATACCAAACACATTTCTTTGGCAGGGACATCCTGTGAGATTCTCTCTCTCTATATTACGATTATATGTCAAGATGTGGGTATAAGTTTGCACATTTTCAACTTTATAATTGGTCATTTATCCTAACTTTATCTACTGTGCTAAAATAAGAAACAGAATTCATTTCCTCTCCGGACTTGGTATTATTATCAGGCTCCACTGAAAACTTGGCAAGCATTGGGATATATGTCTGTATGGAGTTCGCTTTTAGTACCAGCACTTGATGTTGCAATCAATCAATGTGTATGTGTGTAAAATAGGGGATCACAACTATACATGATCTGTTTCCCTCTGACAAGCTCACGCAATGGGATAATCAGAGTTTTAAAATAGCATATAAATTTAATAAATAAATAAAGTTTTAAAATAGCATCTAAATCTGTTGGTTTGTTTTTACAAAAAGTAAACAAGGCCTCTCAATATTATTACTTTAGTTGAACTCGATTTCATGGAATTTGTTTTTGGAGGTTTTGAGTCCAATTTTGCCCAATGTGTTTCTTGACAATACCTTTAATTTATTTATTTAATTTCTAGCCCACCCTTCTCTAGACAATTCTGAGCAACTTCATAGAATTTACAAACAGTAGTATTATACGACCAAAAAAGTCCATAAACAGCAACTGTTAGGGGAAGAAAACCATCTCTCCATATCCTTAGCAACTCACAAAGCATCTCAACCCAAGGCCTGAGGGAAAAGCCTCAAGGGTTTCAAACAATGTTTAATGACAAGTAAGGTGGGAGCCATACAGATTTCTAGATGATATTATTCCAAAAGACAGGTGCAAATGTGAAGTGCCATTTTGTTTTGATGAAAGGAGACTGAAATTACATTCTCTGGCCTTATTTGTCAAACCATTATGCTGATTTAATTCTCTACAGGCCAATTAATTGCCAAAGATGTTCATTTTATAATGAGGAAGTGGCAATAGATACATAAATATAAATATATCTTACACCAGAAGCCTGTTAATATTAAGAACAAAAAACCCTCAACACTCTATAGAAATTCCGAAAAGTTTACATGATGAAAACAACTTTTTGTGACATTACCTAGAGTTTTTAAAGGATAGTAATTTTAAATACTTTGATCCTCAGCTGTTAAAACATTTTAATTTTTGTTCATATCACAAAATAAATGCATTTATTATTAATGAAAATGACAGATTAGTTTGTTATAGACATTAGGCTTAAACACAAGAGTGGCCAAAGAGTAAATACACAATTACTTTTATTTACATGATAGAGTTACATTATTATTGTAGTGGGGGCTATATAAGGATGGAAGAATATTCCCTAACCTGTTTTGTTTTTCAGACCACATGTAATCATGCAGCCAGATCATCCATAGTTCACAATAGGAAGTATTTTTAAAAAGTAACCGTAACATGTGGCTATGCAATAAGTGCATATGTTTGTGTGTGTGGGGGGGGGAGGGGGTGTTCTACATATGAATGTATATGTGTGTCTTTGTGCATTTATTTATTTTACAACATTTATAACCCATATCTATCATTTGGGATAAATATGGGTTACAAACATATATGACTCTATATGTATATGTGTATGCACACACCATACATAACCTTATAAGTGAAAGGATTGGCTTTAATCCTTGTGGAGAATTCCCAATCTCCTTGCTCTCCCCTTGAATACATTCCCAGAAACTCACATCACTGGATAGCTCGGAGGCCTTCTTGGCAATCTGATAAGCTGGAGTCATCAAAACAGGAGAGCTTCCTTTTCCACTTTGCTGCTTATATTCCTGGTTATAATTCACCTACAACAAACAGATATTTTTGCATTTACACTATTTGCTGTCAAATTATTTCCTCTAATATTTATTTATTGGCATCCTAACTGGCATTGGGCTAGAAACCAGGAGACCATGAGTTCTAGTTCTAGTCTTGCCTTTGAGCCACTCACTCTCTTTCAGCCCTAGGAAGGATGTAAAACCACTTCTGAAAATGTTGCCAAAAAAACTGCATGACTTGTCCAGGTAGCCACAAAGAGTGAAGACTGACTTGAAGGCACAGACGCAAAGCCCCAGAGTAACAAGGTGCATCTACGTATGTGTGTGCACTTTCTCCCCTGGGACTAATCAGTGTATATGCATATGTGCTGCCCTTCTTTTTCTCTCTCTATATATGCATGAAAGTCTAATTGGGGTAGATGTATAGGGCAAGAGGCTCATAAGCAATCTCTTATTGTTTAATCAGAAAGAGAACAGAATTCAGCACTTTCACACTGTTTTTAATTCTTTTGTCTTCATTAAGACTTAATCAGAAGATCATTCCAAAGTCATGGCATAAAATTCTGAACACAGTCTTTCATTTTTCATTTCCTAGCTTAATTTAAATTGCCATTGCTACCAGAAGTAACTGATTTTATGTTACTTGTTTTCATTTCTATCCTGTCTTTTCTCCACAAGATCAATCCAACAATTTGACTCCATAGATAACTTTTCATTTAGGTTAGGCTGATTTGTTCAAGCTAAGAAGTAAACTTTATAGTATAGCAAAAATTTGAATATGGATTATTCTCACATCTAAATCCAACACTCCAAATGTGATGATTATTTCTTTATCAAACTTAATACATTGCCAACTGTTGAGGTCTTATTAATAGATAACTTCATAGTTATCTATTAATAAGTTAGTATTAGTTATCTTATTAATAGATAACTAATAGATAACTTCAATCAAATATAACTTCATAGGAGATTATTTTTAGAATATTTAAGAAATTAGTACAAAGATTAGATCTATTTTGATTAGGTCTTTAAAGATGGAGGGTCACTCTTCTAGGTAGTATTTATAAATATAAGACTGGATGTGCAAATATCACTTTATTTTACGTATTTCACATCAATTCTTGAATAAGACAAGAGACAGAATGAGAATTAACTGCACATTTTCATACCATATGTAAATATCCCCTCCATGTAATTAATTATTATTAACTGGATCCTAGATAACTTTACTGAAAGAACGTTATGGAAGAAAAGTTATTTTTCTGTATAGTCACTTGCACTGTGAAAAACCTCTCTGGTGTAAGCTCCGGAATAATGTGATATGGATACAAGAAGAGGAAGCTCATAGAGAAAAAATAATTTCTTAAAAACAGATACACAATCACCAACTTTGAAATAATTCTTCTTTCTCTATCAGTTCCATAACCCCTTCATACACTGTTGGCAATGTACAGTATAGGAAATTCTCCAACACTATGAAAAGTGCCTGTGAAAGCTACAGGTGAAAGGAAGAATAAGAAGAACATTTGATTTCCACAAATTTCCTTAACCTGGTTATCTGAGGAATTAAGCCTACATGAAAATATTTCCTTCACAGATCAATGTCATAGTAGCGATTTACTTACATCACTAAGACCTTTCTGTGTTTGCGCTATCTTGATCATTTCCAACTGTGGGATGGTTTCTGTATACCAGGATTTGCCTTCATTATATACATCATGGTAGGTTTTCTAAAAAGAATGTATGTATAATAAGAAATTAGTACAAAGATTAGATCTATTTTGATTAGGTCTTTAAAGATGGAGGGTCACTCTTCTAGGTAGTATTTATAAATATAAGACTGGATGTGCACATATCACTTTATTTTACGTATTTCACATCAGTTCTTACATTGGCCTTATTGCTTTTGCACAGGAACTGAAAATGTGATTCTCCTTTTAATTCTGTTTGTTCACACTGAACATGAAGAGTGAACTACATATAACTGTTTCTTATTTTAGTTCCAGAGACATTTCAGCTAACTGGATTTTGACCAGGATTTCCAAACTAACAAAGTAACAACCTAATCTTTCTTCTGTGTCCAGAACATCTGCCAGAATTACAACATAATGTAATTGCAAGACAGTTTAATCTTTTGTTTTCTGATAGTTCATGAATCTAACTTTAAAAATTCAGTTACCAATGTTCTTTGTTTGCAAGACACATTTTCCCATAGTTAACTGTAACATAGTTTGCTCAATTATCTCAGTGTTATGCATTTGCAGGATAAATTGATCTGTAAATTAACCACATGGCCTGAGTTCACATAACACAATAAAAGTAAAAAGGTGGTTGGCTGTTGGTGGTACTGTGTATTGCACAATACACAGTCCCAGTGGGGTTCTGAAGTAATGGATCCATTAAATATATCTTGCAAGTAAAAAATCATTCTGACTATGGAGCTTCATCTTCCCTCTTAATTACCTTCTGTATATGATAGAGATATCTCTTTTTTTCCTTTTTAAAAAAAATTATAAATGACTAAAAAAACTGAAGATGAACATGACATAAATATAAATAACCATGAAATCCTCTATGCCTCTACTCAGAAGTGAATGCTTTGCTTGCAGCCAGAATTGTATAAAGGTACCATTCTAAGCTTTGCATGAAGGCATCATAAATCTTCCCATCAAGCCACCAATAACTCAGACATGGTCACATATAGCTCATTCCTCAGAAAAAACCAAATGAGGTTGGATATAGGGCACAGCACATTAATGGTACAAATAAGAACTGTTACGAATAAGAAAGTTTGTAGTTAATTTCAATCAAATAGTTGGAGACTAGAATGCCAAAGTTGGAAGTAATAAGAAGGAAAATGTAGTTGGATTATGTGACCTAGGAAACAGCAATTAATAGGAGAACAATTTATCAGTTTCTGCCAATCCAATTATTTCTTAATTGCTAATATATTCTTCAGACAACCAAAAAAATGCCCATATATATGGAAAACACCAGATGGAGTAGACAGAAATCAAATTGACTACATTATTGTAGAAGGAGATGGAGTATCCCAGCTACAGGAAAAGCTAACTATGGAATAGATCATGAACTGCTCATGTTTAAGTTCCAAGTCAAGCTAAAACAGAAGAACAAAGTCAACCAATTTTCAGAATAAGATCTTTATCCTATATCCACCATTTTCAAGGAGAATATCAGGAATCACTTGGAAGTTCTGAACTTCATTGATAGAAAACTAGAAGAACTGTGAAATGAAATCAAAGAGGTTGTTCAGGATTAATGTGAAGAAAAACTGCCAAAGAATTAGAAACAGAAGAAACCAAACTGGATGTCAGAACAGATGGTGGAAATTGCCAAGAAAAGAAGAGAATCCAAAGCCAAGAAAGACAAAGATCTCAGGAGGAACTTAACAAAGAATTTCAAAGAGCTATTAGAAGACATAAGAAGTAGTATTAGAGCATCTGTAAAGATATCAAAATGAAAATAGACATGGAAAACAAAGTTTTCCATAAGATCAAACCTTGAATTGGTATGCTAAAGGATGCTAATAGACAGATAGTAACTGATTCAAAAAAGATGGAAAAAAGATGGAAGGAGTATACTAAAATAATAACAACTGCCTATCCCAGGTCTTGGGAAGGACTCGATAGGTGGATAAAAACGCCAAATCCAGTCTAAACAACTGGATGACTGTGCAAACAACAACAACAACAATAATAATAAGGCTTTGAGTCAGTCTTGACTCCTGGTGGCTGCCTAGAAAGTCCCTGCAGTTTTCCTGGCAAGGTTTTTCAAAAGTGGCTTGCCATTGCCTACTTCTTAGGGCTCAGAGAGAGTGACTAGCCCAAAGTCACCCAGCTGGCTTTGTGTTTAAGGTGGGACTAGAACTCACAACCTCCTAGCCTGATGAAGATACCTTAAAAGATATTCCTTACCTATAAGAATCTCTAGTACTAGAACATGAAGTTAGTTCAGCACTCTTGTCATTATCAAGTCCACAAGAAGGCTATAGGAAATGATGGAATATCTACAGAAATATGGCAAGCAGCAATAGTGGGAAATCTGTAACTCTTGTCATTATCAAGTCCACAAGAAGGCTATAGGAAATGATGGAATATCTATAGAAATATGGCAAGCAGCAATAGTGGGAAAATATGCAAAAGTTCTAACCAAACTATGCCAGCAAATCTGGAGAATGACACAGTGGCCAACAGATTGGAAGAGGTCAGCCTACAAACCAACATCAAAGAAAAGAGATGAAACAGAGTGCAAATTATAACCTTAATTTCACATGCTAACAAAATAATAATTTCATATGCTAACAAAATAATACTTTCTTTCAATACAGATTAGGCATGGAACAGACATGCCAAACATTCAAGCAGGTTTTAGAAAACATCAAGGAACAAGAGACATTATTGCTGATGCATGTTGAATAACTGAAAATAACCAAAGATGAAAAATAAGTCAATATATGCTTCATTACTGTAGAAAGGCTTTTGATTGTGCCATCTGTATCAAGCTGTGGAATGCCTTTAGAAAAATGGAATCCCATAACCTATACACAGGAGAAGAAGTTATAGTTTGTACAGAACATAGTAAAACAGATTGGCTCCATGTCAGCAAAGGAGTAGGACAAGGCTGTATACGCTCTCCTTATTTATTCAACCTGCATGCTGAAAATATAGTGAGGGAAGCTGTACTGGAAAAAAATTGAACATATTTTTAAAAGTGGGTAAATAAACATTAATAATCTGCACTGTGACAATGACATAGCTGAAACTGCAAATGATCTGCAAACTAGTTATGAAAGTCAAAGAGCACAGTGGAAAAAAATGAGACTAAGATTATATATAAATAAGACCAAATTAATGACAACCTTAGAATTTACAATGAAGGCATTGAAGTGGTGGATAGCTTTGCCTTTTAGGATCAACATTAAAGGAACTAGCAATCAAGAAAAATACCACAGAGGTGCAACTTGATAGGATAGCAAAGAAGGCCTTGGAGAAGACATTCAGATGCCAGGACCTATCTTTACTATTCAACAATCACAATAATGCATTGTTTTTTTCCTGAAACATCCCATAGAATTGAAAGTTGGACTTGAAGAAGCAAGATAGAAAGAGTATTGATGCGTTTAAATGTTGGTATTGGAGAAGACTCTGGAAAATACAGTACCATGGACAGCCAAGAAAACAAAAAAAATGGATCATAGAACAAATCCATCTAGAGTTCTTACTCAAGGCAAAAATAACCAAACTAAAGTTATTATATTTTGGAAACATTATGCAAAGACCCAGCTCCCTTGAGAAGTCCATAATGCTGGGAAACATGAAAGAAAGAAAAGACAACCAACAGCAAGCTAGACACTCAAGTATAGCAACAATGGATGCACCATTGGGAAACTTGAAGGGCCAGGTTGGGGGCATATCATTCTCATCTAGCTATGTGGCTGCTCA